AGCACCTTTTCATGTACCTGGTGGGCATCTGTATATCGTCTTTGGAAAAATGTCTATTCAGATCCTTTGCCTATTTTTAATTGAATTGTTTGGGAGAGGTTGCTTTTGTTTTGGTATTGAGTTGTATGAGTCTCTGTATTATTTTGGATATTAACTCCTTATCAGAGATATGATTTACAAATAGTTTCTCCCATTCTGTAGGCTGCATCTTCATTTTGTTGTTTCCTTGGCTGTGCAGAAGTGACTTCACCTCACCAGTGGTGTGAGCATTTCACCCTAATGATGTTCTTACTGTAAAGTGAAGGAGTTATAGTAGGTCATTCATTTTTAACCTTCCTTTCAAAATCTCCAACACATAACAAAGTCAGAGCAGAAGCAGGCTGGGGGCCCAGGTCATCACACAGTGGAGGCCTGTCTTCCATCGAAGCCCCCAGCCTGCATAGTTTGATGTCCATGCTACTGCAAGACCCTTAACGAAATGCCTTTTAGAGTTGTCATTCAACATCCACCATCTCCAATATGATGGCAGACTCAAAAGTCATCGAGCTAAACTGTGGTTTAAGAGCCAAAATCCAAGCCCCTATTTTGTACTGAAGAAAAGAACCTCTGCTCACACTGACAAATTAGGAGAGGAGCTGTTCAAATGCCAGATATTTGTTGGGCCACAGCAGTGCAGCAGGATGTTGAAAGTTCTGAGTCCTTTTCTGATAATTCATCATTAAAGAAATGAAACTGATTTCTGCATGTTAATCTTGTACCCCACTTCAATATCCTAAGATAAACCATAATGGTAGAGTATTTTTAAATGTTTATATGTGTATAACTGAATCACTGTGGCTGTACAGATTTACACAACATTGTAAATCTTAAAGTTTTTTTAAAAAAAAGGAATGATGACCTAAAAAAACAAACCAAAAAAAAACCCAAACCAAATAATGGCTCTACCAACCTTAGGTTGTTGCAGGTCAGAAAGACTATGAGGTTATGGTACTCTGCATAAGTTTTATGGTCACTTTTTCCCTTCTCCTCTTTCCCCAAGTATGAGCTTGAGCCTCCCAGAATGGCAGCTAAATGTCCCCCCAGTCGGAGAAATGCCAGTAAGGATTATGAAGTTTGTCCTTTTGAGAGACGCTGGTGCCCTGATGGCCTGGAGATCAGCTGAATGGTGGTTTCAGTGACACCTTGAGATCTTGAGATCCTGTTTAAAGAAGTATGTATGTGTAATATCTGAGAGGGGGAGACCGAGATGTTTAGGGGGCCAGGGAATCTCTTAGTAGCTCCACAATTGGCAGATGAGATTAAAACTCCAGCAACAGGAAAAGTCAGGGCCACTGACAATTGGAAATATTGGCATGGGGCACAGAGGCCTCTTGGCTGGATTAGGACCAGATGGGTAACAGGCTGACCCCTCCCAGCTGTTCATCTTGATAATTAAAGTAAATCTTGCACCTGTGATACAAAATTAGCTCAGAAACCAAAGACAACCCTGGGTAAAGTACATTTGTTGCTCTGAACACAAAGGCTGACTATCAAGAGGCATTTAGTTTAAGCAGCATTTCATTTAGACAAAGAGATAAAAGAACAGTTTCTAGCTATTAACTCTTTGTCACCTGGGCTGATTTAAAAATAATTCAAACCTCACTCTGAGGAACTTTCCCCAGAGCCAGATACAAATACTACATTGAATAATTCTGTTCATTTATAAACTGAAATCTATTTGAAAGCTACAACTCAGTCCTGAAGCAGCATCCTATGTATTACAACTTAAAGGTTTTATAGAAAAGAGCACTGGATTGAGAGACCACAAGACCTGAGTTAGTCTGCTCTCTGCTAAGCAAACTTTGGACACAGCTTTTGGTTTTTCTGTGCTTCTCTCAACTACAAAATAGGGAGATTAGACCAGAGTAAACTCAGATTCCATGAAATTCATAATCAAGTCCTTGAATGAGATTAATAGCAGACTGCCAATTATTGTGGCTTTCAGTTAAATCTTTAAATACCCAAAGGGAAGGGGCCACAGTAAACACATTTTCTATTGTTCAAAGATGCTGGCATGCACTTTACCTTCATTGTTCATAGAAATGGCTTGCACAGCTCACTAATATTCCTAAATTGCTGAAATGCAGGTCCCGAACAGAAGGTTGCTTCAACTTCAACATCTCTTTAATGAGGTGGAGAGCTTTTGCCACGTCGAGGTTAAGACTGTAAGTGCCGTTCTCTTAAAATGCAAATACACCTGCCTACAGTTTACCCTTTAAAATCAGTTTCATTGAGCCACGTTTTTGAAATATATTTTTAAAAAAGACCAAGTTGTTGAAATAGCCAAGTAGCAGGAGCTAGATCCCTTTTCTTTTTGCTTACCTGCATTTTTTTAGTTATTTAATGGCATCCAGTCCCATCACTGCATGGCAAATAGATGGGAAAACAGTTCATGACTTTTTTGGGCTCCAAAATCACTGCAGATGGTGACTGCAGCCATGAAATTAAAAGATGCTTACTCCTTGGAAGGAAAGTTATGACCAACCTAGATAGCATATTAAAAGCAGAGACATTACATTGCCAACAAAGGTCCGTCCAGTCAAGGCTATGGTATTTCCAGTAGTCATGTATGGATGTGAGTTGGATTCTAAAGAAAGGTGAGCACCGAAGAATTGCTTTTGAACTGTGGTGTTGGAGAAGACTCTTGAGAGTCCCGTGGACTACAAGGAGATCCAACCAGTCCATTCTAATGGAAATCAGTCCTGAATGTTCATCGGAAGGACTGATGCTGAAGCTGAAACTCCAAAACTTTGGCCACCTGGTGCGAAGAGCTGACTCATTTGAAAAGACCCTGATGCTGGGAAAGATTGAAGGCAGGAGGGGAAGGGGACGACAGAGGATGAGATGGTTGGATGGCATCACCAACTCAATGGACATGAGTTTGAGTAGACTCTGGGAGTTGGTGATGGACAGGGAGGCCAGACGTGCTGCAGTCCATGGGGTTGCAGAGAGTCAGACACGACTGAGTGACTGGACTGAATACATTTTTTTAGCCAGTAAAATGAAAAGACTAAACAAATCATATTACTATACCCAAACTGCAGCTTTATTTTAAAAATAAAATAAACAGCTAGAAAGAAAATAAATACCAAAATGCTGGTGACTATTTCTGGGTGGCTTATGGGTGTTTTCATTATGCATTTTCCAAATTTCTGTAATGCATTACAGAATTTTAAAATAACTTTTAAAAAGATCTAATCTGGTTGCAGCTTGCAGAATGTCATTACTGAACAGTAGTTTTGTGGTCAGTCACTAGAAACTGGAGCATTAGAGGAGGGAGGCTACTGCCCTCAGTCTACACTTGGAAAGGAGATGTGTGGTGCTGGGGACCAAACGTGATGCCCAGGGAGACTAACCTAGGATTTCTTTTCTTCCTAGGTCCCACTCTGGGTGAGATAGGCTCTACGTGCCTGGAGTCTACACTTCATCACTATCCTTACAATCCTTTATTTGGGTTATAGTGTTCTTGTGTCGATTTGTCTAGTATTCTCCCACAGCTGTGAGTAGTGCTATGTCAATGTCCTACATTTTGTGCAAGGGAGAAGTATCATTTGTCTTCATCGTCCGATACCTTTCCCCTTCCGTGGTCAACAGAAATATGACAAGAGAGGTCTGATCTTCTAATAGGGAAAGTTCCTTCCTGGACCAGGGCTGGAATTTGCTCACCAAGACCACAACAGGAGACTGTCTTTTAAATCTAGTTAGTACTGAGAAGTGAAGTGTTAGTCACTCAGTCGTGTCTGACTCTGTGTGACCCCATGGACTGGAGCCCACCAGGCTCCTCTGTCCATGGAATTCTCCAGGCAAGAATACTGGAGTGGATAGCCACTGCCTCCTCCAGGGGATCTTCCGTACCCAGGGACTGACCCTGGCCTGCTGCGCTGCAGGCGGATTCTTTACTGTCTGAACCACCAGGGAAGCCCAACCTGGCGTGAGCCTCTGTCCAGATGGGTAAGAACCATGGGACCCATTGGAAGTAGGACAGTTTACAGAGACGTCTGGCATGGATTCAAGACCCCAGTACCAACTACCTAACTAGCAAAAGGGCAAATGTTGTTGGTCTTTGCTTACACTGCCTAGCAGTCAAGAAACCTTAAATTAGTGTTCATCAAACAGTGACATGCAAAACATCTTCACATCACAACCACCGAGGGGGAAGGTGCTTGATAAAAAAAATTCCTGGACATCCTTAGGCCCAATAGTTTCCATTTTAAATACTGTTTAAGAGTATCCAAAATGTAAAAATAACAAAGAACTATAGATATGCATATTCTATAGACTGAAATGTAAACATCTGAAAATTGAAATGTCTCTACTAATTACTTACTAGCATCATATTCCACTCATTTAGGTCACTGAGAAAAAACACATACTTACACATTCTTACATTTCTAAAGCCAGTGCCTTTCAAGGCCCTGTTTAATCACTTCTTATTAATATACAAGTATTAAAAAATCACACATACCCTCTTTCAAACCACAAACTAAATATGTTCAACAGTGGTTCCTCAAAAGCCTGTTATTTCCAGAACTTTATTAAAATAAGGAAATTAAATATATATGAAAAAAGGAATGGAAAACAAGGACCTCTATCAGTTTTATTAGCTGCAATATGCATTACATGTAATTATATATATAAATTAAAAATTACATGTAACATAATTATAACAAAAACTTTATAGTTTTGAAAAACGTTTTATTCAAGAATTTCAAATATCTTCCAAAATACAGTTTCCTAGATTGCTACAAAAGAAAGCAAGTTTAATATGAAATTTAAATCATTAAATATGTTTCACTAGTATATATATACAGAATGCCAAGCAATTTTTATATTTAGCCCTGGAATGCGTACCATGTCTTTCGTTCTTTCTTATTAAAGGCTCAATCCAGCACTTGGTATATAGGCTATGTACAACAGGCAAAGTTCAGTGTTCACAGGAATTTCACATTAGCTTCCTCAACTTATAGCTGTGGTAGTTTGTCCACAGGGGTGTCAAATTTGAAGTCTGTAGGAAACAGATCTGGGGCCCGAGGATAGATTAGTCTGTACGACTGTCTGATTGTAACATCAGCAACACCAGCAATATCTCCAATCTCTAAAAGACAAATATCAAAGTATTAAGAATAACTTCCATCCTACCTCCCTTCTACCTGCATTCTAATTTTGGGACCTGGTAGTGTAAAATGTCTAAGTGAAAAAGAAAACAAAAATATTTTTAACAGTTAAAAAGTAGAAAGTAGGGCTACAATAACAACAATAATGACCTCAATACCTATTATCTCAAAGGGTTGTTGTATTAACATTAAGAAGTTTACTATATGTAAAACATCTGAACAGTTCAGGGCATAGCAGAATGTGTGGTAACTATTATATTGCTCACTGTATTTAGAACCGACTTCTTCACAGTAACATTTTTTTGAGGATCACAGAAGTCATCCACGAATACATTCTTATAAAGAAATTCATTTTATTATTTGTGTTTTAAAGTTTCTCTACATCTCCCCTAGCAAACCTCTATTAAGAGGCTCTTATAAGGTTAAAACCAAATGGGACCACACTATATTTTTCTTCTCTTTTTTCTATTTAACACATCTGAGATCAAATAGCTATATATTACAGCATGATGTACATGGTTTTCACTATTACAAACACATACTGGAGCATATATATTGAGCTCATTGAGTTATTTCTATAGTCTATTAAAGAATCCAAGGATCTGCACTTACCAAACTCGTGTCACTTCTTTCTTTTTTTAAATGAAGTCCCAAAGGACTGCCACATGACAATTATTTGGTTAGTTATACATAATCAAAATAGATTTTTTAAACACATCCTTTAATACAACCTCATTTTATCTTTTCAGAGCCAGTTCGAATTGGTGAAATTTTATGGCTTCAAAGTGTGGATGTGGCCATCAGTAAATAATTTTAAATTTCCTTACCTTATGCTACATTATATTTTTCTGGACATAAATACCGATGAATGTCAACTATATGTCTATCAACTAGCTGCTGAGCAGGGAAAGAGAGGACCTTATATTTCAAGAAAACCCTTCATGTGAAACATGAACAGAAATTGTCAAGATGATTAGAAAAAACTTTACAACTATTAATAGGAATGAAGGTCAGGACAATCTGCCCAGCCACAACTTCTCAATTTTTCCAGAAGACTCAAAATTTTCTTGGAAAATACAAGTGGAGCCCAAAGGGAATGGATAATGGCACATTTAAATAACTAATGGCTGGCTTCTTTTTTCTAATCATTCTTCTATATAATTTACTACTTTTATTAACATAGGAACATACAACCTAAGCTGAGGTAAAAGGCTATTCTGAATAGGGTATTAAAAAGTTATTGCAGCAAGTAATTTCACTACCTCACTTTTAAATTTAGAACTGACCGCTCCTTTTTCTTTATAAAACTTTTTGAGGATCATAGAAGTAATTAATTAGTGAATGCTGTGTGTTGTGCTGGAGGAGAAAATGGCAACCCACTCCACTACTTTCCCCGAAAAATCCCATGGGCAGAGGAGCCTGGTGGGCTACAGTCAGAAGGGTCGCAGAGAGTCAGACACAACTGAGTGACTGAGCAGAGCACAGCACACAGCTGCTCTTTCTTTATAAATCTTTTTGAGGATCATAGAAGTAATTAATAAATATATGCTTGTAAAGAAATTCACTTAATATCTGTCTCAAAGTTCTACAACAGTAAATTAAAAAATAGCTGGAGGCTGAACAGTATTTTCATGAAGAAACTGTGAACAGCATACAAAAGAACAGGAATAGATTTCACAGAAAGTTAAAACTTGATGGTCAGCACACATTTATAGTGTGCCTATCTGTAGGGTACCATGCCAGCTCCAGAGACACAAAGCATGGCTGCCTCCTATCAAGATTTAAAAGGTAAGTTTTGAGGTGGAAAAAAACAAGACTATTCCAAATAGCCAGAAATATTTAGGGGGTACAAATAAAAACAACTTCTAAAAATGAAAAAATGTCTTAATTCAAATGAAGAAAAAAGTTAAGCACATGGGGTTATGCCTGCAAATATTTTTTACTTATGAGCCACTTAAAAGCAAAATATTGTATTTTCTTAAGTTTTGATGCTAAGGAACTAACTACCTCTTCAACATGGGCCCTGGATATTTACTGTCACACCTCAGCGAACTGCAGGTTCAGTTCCAGACCCCTAAAATAAAGCCAATATTGCAACAAAGCCAAACACATGAATGTTTTGGTTTTCTAGTACATAATAAAAAATTGTTTACACTATAGTTTATTAAGTGTGCAAAATAATTTTATCTAAAAAAAGAATGCACATACCTTAATTTAAAAATATTACTAAAAAAGAAAAATGTTAACCATCATCTGAAAAACAGAATTGCCATAAATCTTCTATTTGTAAAAAAAAAAAAAAATGCAATGTCTGTGAAGTACAACAGAATGAGGTATGGCTGTACCTGCTTCATAACTTAAAATGTAAATACAATCACATACTACAGCCTTCACAATTTTATCAATACTCTTGCTGATGAAGAATCTTACCTTTTTGGGTCCTTTTCTCAGCTGATGCCTGTGAGGCCATGTAAATAGCAGCTGCTGCCACAGATATTGGGCTCCTTCCAGGAACCAAGTCCAACTCCACAGCTTTACGGGCTATATGTGTCGCTGCCATCTGTACTTGCTTAGGAAGACAAAGGTTGGAACAAAACCTGGACATGAAGTCCCCAGTTGTAATCAAATCCACACTGGTTTCTAAAGCTTTCAGAATAAGTTTAAAACATCGACCAATTTCTTTCTTAGAAATTCGTGATACAGCACATATTTCTAAAAGACAAAAAAAGTTTAAATAAATAAATCTACATAGACCATGTTTTCACCTTAAAATCTATCATTTTTTATTATAAAATATACTGCAAAATTCTATCCTGCCTTAAAGATCAATCCTCAGTGATACTTCCCACAAAACTCATTTAATATTTCTCAATTAATTTAAATGTTTACAACACCTTTTAAAAAAAAAAAAGCTAAATGTAGGTCTTAATATTTCAAAATATTAACTTCTCTGAAGTTTCAATTCATGCAAGTTTCTTCAATCAATCAAAAATTTCTTTGATATGTATTAATCTGTTGTAAGGGGTATATCAAGAAAATGAAAGAAAATATTCAAACTAAAGAATGCCTCTCAAGTTACACAATGTCATACATACATGCAATCCCTGCAATTACAGACAACAGCAAAATGTGATCAAGTATTTGACCCTGTTGTTCTAAAATTTCAACTAAGAATAAATTTAACAGAAGTCTTAGTTTTAGTTGTAAGAACCACTGCCTCTTCAGTCTGACACAAGAAAACATATAAAATATTCCTGGATGAAGGAAGGGTAATTATAGTCTTAAGCTAAAATGTACACGTATCACAGCAACAAAGAGTAAGCTGTCATGTTTTCACGCATAAACTGAAAACTACATGAAAAATATTAGTCCTCTCAAAGCTTTCAACCTAACTGTGAAATGAAAACTGTGTAACTCAAGAGAAAAAATTTCATTGATTCTAAGCCTTGACTCTCTCACCTGTAGAGACCTGTGCTGGAAGCAGAAACTTTGCTGTACATCCAGTGTACACACTTGCAACAAAGGATTCTGAGGCCAGGCCTCAAAGCCCACAAAATACAGTCAGAAGACCTTACCAGCAAAGAACACAGGGCTTACATGGACTAACATGACTTTACATGGGAAAATAGCCTGAAAAGAACATGATCAATATGATCATAGAATTTCTGTCAAGGAACAAAATAAGGTGGTGTTTAGAAAAATGCTTAAGTGGATTACTGTATGTAACCAGGAAGCTTAATTTACTAAGCATCCAAGCTGCTTGACTTTGGCCTGTCACTTTAATATGAAATAGATTAACATTTATATCTAAACAATTAAAAACTTACCTTTAAATGTTCTAGGAACCCCTTCCTGTCGGCAGGCAATATAAAGACAAGCAGAAGCTATGGCATCATTGGCTCTCCCCTTCAGGCTCTTCTGTTCATACACTTGCTTGAATAGGTTATTTGTTCGATCCTTCAAAGCAGAGAAAAGTTAAAAGTCGCTCAGTCGTGTCTCTTTGTGACCTCATGGACTATACAGTCCATGGAATTCTCCAGGCCAGAATACTGGAGTGGGTAGCCTTTCCATTCTTCAGCAGATCTTCCCAACCCAGGGATCGAACCCAGGTCTCCCGCATTGCAGGTGGATTCTTTACCAGCTGAGCCATGAGGGAAGTCCGCAAAGCAGAGAAACTAAGTTTAATTAATTCTAGGCTATTTAATTAACCATAATAGCAAATTTTCATGTGTTCACTAAAATTATGCTAAGTCAAAGCCAACACAGTTTACAGAATATAGACAAAAACTTACAACTATATTTCGAGGGAGGTTGATTCTGTCTGCCATGGTAGTGATTTCTTTAAATGCATTCATCATTGCCCGATCAGAACTACTCATGGTTCTCCTATTCTGGTACTTAGAATTACCAAATTCATCAAAACTTGCAGCTCCTGTACCCTATAAAACAAAGTTTTATAACTTATACAAAAAAACCTCTGAAAACCTGAATGAACAATTATTCTAAGAAAACAACGTGCACAAACTGACTCCATATTGCCTAAGAAATATACCCTGAGCAACCTCTATTCCTCAAAAGAAAAAATACCACGTTAAGGTGGTTTTAAAGAGTTTTTCTAGCAAATACTTTAAATAAAAATATTATTAGAGAATAACATAAACCATGAAATTTTAAGACCTAAGAGAAAAATCACGATTATCTCCAAAAGGTGTTTAAAATAGGTAGGCAAACAAATCTCCCACGTCCAGACCCAGCACATTGATTAATGGAGAAACATTAGCAGCATTACCACTAAAAGTCAGAAGACAAAAATGCCTCCTGTCACTACCATTTTCTAACACTGTACTAGAAAAACTAGCCAATATGACATAATTATAACTGTAAAATGTAATTATATAACAATTATATTAATTAGTGTAATTATATTAAAATTCAGCAGGAAAGAGATGAGAAGTACAAATCTGAGACCAAACTGATAAACTATCTTCAGATAATATCGTTGTATATACCTAGAATTATTCAAGAAAATCACTCAAACTGCCTACATATGTGTAATCAATCAGAACATGCAAGAAAAACCTGCAATTACAACAGCAACAAAAAAGATAAAATATCTAGATTAACTTAGAAAGAAAACTTTAAAACACCCACTGAAGGACAGATATGACTTAAGGAAATGCATACTATATTTCTGGATAAGATTTTTTCATTAAGAAGTCAGTTTTCCCTGAGCCAATTTTAAAATAAATCTAACCAAACAGTGAAAATAATTACCAAGTTGTTTTGTTTTCTTTTTTAATAAACAAAGTTATCCTAACATTAAATGGAAAAGACCAGTGAAGAAAATGCTGAAAAGGTTACAAAAGAAGACTAATGCTCCCAAATATTAGAATAGCGCAGTGTGTCCTTAGACAACTAGACCAGGTTAGAGAAAGGATGGAAGTCCAGAAATATTCCCAAATACATACAGAAATTTAACATGTGACAAATGTAGCATCTTAAAAAATCTCTTTGCCACAAATCCATCAATAATTCTCAGAGGAGTCAGAAGAACCTAGCAGCAGTGGTTCCCTGTATCTGACAGGGAAAGGGGCTGAGGCAGAAACAGAGGTTAGGGGTCAAGGGTGAGGGAAACTACTGTTCTTTTTACTTTTTTTCAATCATGTATTTCCTACTGGAAAAAAAGTAAACATTAAAAAAAGTAACAGTATTAGTTGCAATCTTAAAATTTAAAAACGTTCTTAGTATATATTTTTCCAGCCTGTAAAGGCTACATTCAGAAACGACCTACTTTAAAAGACTCTTGAATAGTGTCAACTTTTTAACTTAGCCCACACCATGTTTTTCAAACTTAGTATGTAATCTATAGGGCATGAAAAAAATGACCTGCATAATTTCTTAAGAATAGACTATGCAGTAGTATAAATTAAGTCCTAAAATAGCATATGCTTCCTCGATGAGTTCTTTGAAATAATGCCACTATTACTTCCAATTCAGATAGCAGGGCAAAAACCTGCCAGGCTGCCAGGAAGATTATGTTACTGCTTGCTATATAACAGCAGCAGGTACCATTTACTGAACACATTGTATATATTACGTGTGTATAGATACTTTACACACATTTCCAAGTAACCCTCAAAATGTCTCTGAGGTTGCAGTATTCTCACTTTACTGATGAAAAAAGTAAAGCTTAGGAGAGTCATAAATTCACCATTATTAGCAAATAGTCTATTATACAGCGATCCAATTTATCTTAGTGGTATTGAGGGAAAAGAGAAAAGTTTACTAATATTTAAGGAACATTTTAATATGAACTCAAAGAGCCTACAACACTCAACTTTTTTGTGCAAAACTGCTTCATTAAAACAAGGGCCTGAGATATAGAGTCTGTAACTTCAATGTATTAGTCTCCTGTTTAAGACAGAAGAAATAAGGCAACCATCATTACCAGTAGTCTTACTGGCTGATCCTACTCTCAGATCGAGATTCCTCACTGGAACAGTGACTGATAATTTTGCAGTTTCCAATCTCCAGGTCTTTGGTCAGTCTGCGCGCCTGGCATTTCCTGACAAATGGATTTATTACCTTGCCAATCATAGTAGACAAATCTCCATCACTCAGAAGAGGATTCTGAGAATCTCCAACTCGAGATGGATCTTTTGTTGCTTTATCATTGCTGAAAGTTCTCCACTCAGATCCTACATCGATAACTCGGTCACCTGAGAATATAAATGGAAATATGAATTGTCTTGTCAAGAGAGGATTTATTTAATGCTGCCTAATGCCCAACTTAGCTCTTTTATTCCCAGAAAATTTCAACACAAACATCAGGCTTCAGCTAAAGTATCTTGTCTTGGACATTTATCCTAAAATATTACTCTTACAACAATTCAATAATAACCCTCTTTAAACATTATGCTATGATTAGTCATATTTTAACTCCCGGAATAAAGAAGTAGACAAAATAAAAACAGAAATAAAGTTAATCAATGTGATGAAGAGATAAAGTAAAGTAACAATGAAGAATCAAGATTTGGAGAAAAAAAAAAAGAACCAAGATGTGAACAAAACGTGCAACAGGCACAGAAATAAAAACCAGACAACATTTTTCATGATGTTATTAATACACAGTTTAAAGAAATTATGAAGTTTTCATGGGTAATGCTCTGCAAAGAACTAAGCCTAAGGGGATACTTTAGTAACTATTTGAAAATATTGAAATATTTGGGGGTCAAATAATTAATACAAAATAAACTTAAGCCTAGAATCATCAAGCAGAAAAGTAGGCAAACTTTTCTTTTTACACAAAGAAGCAGTGCCTAAAAACGCCATACCAAGAAACCAGACAGGTAGATTTGGTGCAGATTACTGCTTTGAGGGGGGTGCTCAACGGCTGGTAATACCTCTACCAGCGACAAGCAAGCATTAACAAGAACACCTGCATGTGCTCGTCACGGTGCCCTTTCTAAATGTTATTTTTCAATCCTTAAAGCTTTATAAAACAGGTATCACTTTAATTGCCACATTAGTTATAAGATTAATTTGCCTAACATCACACAACTAAAATGCAAATGGGATTCCAGAATCCGTTCCATACTGCCTTTATAAAACATTAGTTTTTCCACCAATGTGATAAAATTAAAAGCAGGAACCAGACCATTTTCATCTGTGCCTATATATAGCAAACAGAAAGGAATGGAAGAAATAAGTTATCTCAGTAGTTAAAAATAGTTGGTATTGACAGTCAATTAATATAATGGTTAACAGTGTGGACTCTATCAGGTACTGCTTCAGTTCAGTCGCTCAGTCGTGTCCAACTCTTTGCGACCCCATGAATTGCAGCACGCCAGGCCTCCCTGTCCATCACAAACTCCTGGAGTTTACTCAAACTCATGTCCATCAAGTCGGTGATGCCATCCAACCATCTCATCCTCTGTTGTCCCCTTCTCCTCCTGCCCCCAAACCCTCCCAGCATCAGGGTCTTTTCCAATGAGTCAACTCTTCGCAGGAGGTGGCCAAAGTACTGGAGTTTCAGCTTCAACATCAGTCCTTCCAATGAACACCCAGGACTGATCTCCTTTAGGATGGACTGGTTGGATCTCCTTGCAGTCCAGGGGACTCTCAAGAGTCTTCTCCAACACCACAGTTCAAAAGCATCAATTCTTCGGCGCTCAGCTTTCTTCACAGTCCAACTCTCACATCCACACACGACCACTGGAAAAACCATAGCCCTGACTAGACAGACCTTTGTTGGCAAAGTAATGTCTCTGCTTTTTAATATGCTATCTAGGTTAGTCATAACTTTCCTTCCAAGGAGTAAGTGTCTTTTAATCTCATGGCTGCAATCACCATCTGCAGTGATTTTGGAGCCCAGAAAAATAAAGTCTGACACTGTTCCCACTGTTTCCCCATCTATTTCCCATCAAGTGATGGAACCAGATGCCATGATCTTAGTTTTCTGAATGTTGAGCTTTAAGCCAACTTTTTCACTCTGCTCTTTCACTTTCATCAAGAGGCTTTTTAGTTCCTCTTCACTTTCTGCCATAATGGTGGTGTCATCTGCATATCTGAGATTATTGATATTTCTCCCAGCAATCTTGATTCCAGCTTGTGCTTCCTTCAGCCCAGCCTTTCTCATGATGTACTCTGCATATAAGTTAAATAAGCAGGGTGACAATATACAGCCTTGACGTACTCCTTTTCCTATTTAAGTTGCTGCTTAGCCTTGGACAAATTTCCTCATTTCCGTAGTAGTGCAATGATTCAGCTTGAAATTTCCCCAATTACCTTATTTTAAATAAATTAACTAATACAGTTTCAATCCATATGAAGTGCTTAAAAACCAGTTCAAAGTAAATTGCTTGATATTAGCTATTTAATGCTATGAAAATAAGGTGACATTCTGGGAGCCTGACGTCACTGCTGAGGAAGAGGAGCACCAGCTGTGGAACACTGGCCCGTCCTGGACTTTAAGTGTCCGCGTGCTCCACTGTGGTGCTTGGTGCGCAGGAGGCAGAGGGGGCCGGGAGGGAACAGAAGGAGGGGACTCAGTGCAGACTGCCCAGCTTTCCATATACAGTAGTTAATGATCTGACCTTAGGGTTTTATTTTAGAAAACAAGTAGATACATAGCAGAATCATTCCTGATGATTTGGGGAAGATTTTTTCGTCTTTGAATACTCAAATCACTTGGGAATAACCAGATGTCACTTGGACTATCACATGTCCACGTCACAAGGGAAGTGGGACAGAGATAGGAACACCACTTGCCACACCTCATGCAATGAAATTGGCCAAGGAAAGCAGAAGCAAGATCAGGTAAGGCAACTTCTGTGGATCAGAGATTCGGCAGGCAGCCCAAAATAAGGAGAAAAAGTTACATGAATAGGATGGTCAAGATGCATTTCTCTGCTTCCTCCTCCTAAGACCAAACACCACTAAACATGGGAAGCAATTCTAATTATGTAAATTAATAATGAGTTTTAAAACTTACCTGACATTAGTGTAACATCTCTAATCATGCACTGAATTTTACTACAATATTAAGCAAGGCCCATGTCTCAGAGAGACTACTCTAAAGAGATCGATTTTTGTTTTTACAGAAGAGTAGCTGCTTACAAGAAATAGTTATATAAGCAAAATAAAATTACCTGTATTCCCAACACCCCAAAGATAGCCACTGTCAATACTATGGTATATATTTTCTTTTCCATTCATCTGTATACATACATTTTTTGTGAGATTAAAATTATAGTGTCTATTCCAGTACAAGCTCGTTTCACTAAATTTCTAATCAAAACACCAAAACAAGACTTTTAGACAAAGTTTAGCCCTTTCAATTGTATCCACTCCTCAAAGCGTTGCCATGTCCCCATTCTTCATGTTTTCAAAGGGAGAAAAGTGAATCTAACTTTCCTAGTCAGTAAAATAAAAACACAAAACAAAAAACTACTGCAACCTTAAAATCTAGGGTTACTTAATAAATTTAAGTGAAAAAAATCAAATGCCATTATTAACTTTTAACACTTTAATTAACACAATGGATGTATTAAGAGAATATTCTTTATCTTTACTAACACATTTTTTAAGTCTCTCTGGAACTCTAAAGATAAAGTACTAGTTTACCAGTAGCATGCTTCATTTCACAGCATTTTTCTTTTGACCCAAATTAACTTACCATGAGTTTCTTTTGTGCTTGCTTTTACTGCCTCAAAAAAGACAAGTTGGATTAGGAGAGGAAAAAAAAAAAAAATTGGCCTAGGATAGTATAAATAGAAAGCCCAGAACTGGGTAGTGATGTAATTTTTCCACATACATGGGAATGGTCTACATGACTCATTCAACAATCTGTGGTTTGTGCTCAGAGTCATTCCCTCTTTTTATACTTTACTGCTCAAAACATAGCATTTATAGAAAATAAAATTTCCAAAATAACTCAAATAGCACATCATGAAACTAGAACTAGACCATCAGATTATGTGCATGAGTAATAAGAAATACAGCGGATCATTCAGAAAAAAAGTCAGAACACATAAAAGATTTTCTTGAAGAACATCTAAATGCAGTAGCATTTTTTAAAGTTGCTCTGGAAGGAAAACTGCATTACAGAATCTTTTCAAGGAATAAGTGCACAAGGCAGCCATACTGTTTAGGTATAATCAACCTTTCACAAGCAGAAGCCCAACAATTAGCACATATGCACATAACATACAACCTCACATAGCCTTTTTAATGTGCTACAAACAGAGAAACATGCCAACTTTTAACAGTTCCTTTTTAAGCCACACCCTGATTTTTATAAAATCAACATCAGATAAAAAGTCTATATATAAAATAGCAAAATCATAGCACTACTACAAATATATATAATAGTACTACTCTTCCCTCCATCTATATTGTGTGATCTCTTAACACTCTGATCAAGTTTCCCATCCAAAAAGGTAGAGACTCAATATGTATACACTCATGCACAGTTCTCAATCCATGTTATCAGAAAGGTGTCTAAAGAGTATTAACTAAGACATTTTACTAAACCCTAAAGCAATGAGTTTCATCTCTATTTTTTCAGGAAGAAATTGAGAATAACTGCCAAAATCATTCACACCAGTTTAAAACTGTTAACTACTGTGGCACACACCTACCTTATGATTTGTGCACAACTACTGAGCCTCTGCTCCAGAACCCAGCAGCTGCGACGACCGAGCACATGCCGCAACAGAAACCCAAGCACCCTAGAGCTCATGCTCCAATGAGAAGCATGTGCACTACACTAGAGAGCAGGCCTTGCTCTCCACAACCAGAGAAGGCCCAGGCGACAATGAAGACCCAGCACAGCCAAAAATAAGTAATTTTTTAAAAATCTCATTTTCTAACTAGAAATTGCTATTGTATTTCATATGCCTATATTCAGCCACTTTTAATAGACTTAATTTTTAAAAAATGATCTAAATAATCCAGATATAGAGTCCCATCAATGGCAAGGAACTTGATTCCTTTCCAATGCTTAACCCCCATTTCTATTTTGTATCTAAAGCACTTGTCAGAACCTTCAAAACAATGCCTCTGATTTAAAACAAAAATGTCCCCGATTCTTCGACATTATGCATGAAAGTGACAAGTGAACTTAAAGTCTTCTGTTAAAGCATCAAGCACCATTGTACTCTAACTCAGAGTATCTTAAATGAGAAAACTGCTTACATTTGTCTGTCAACTCAGTAGA